TATCATTTCCTCAATCCCCCGATAGCCAGTCCTTTCTTTCATTTTCACTCGCTGTTACCCGCTGTGTACTAGTGGCATTCCCACTTGGGGTGGAATGATTAAGAAAAATCATATTTTTATTACCTCAAAGGTCCCAAGGAAATTGAAATTAAATGACCCATAAAGGAGTTGATATGCCGTTAAACAAACAAATCAATCAATCTAAATGTTGTTCCGCTTTCCATTTACCCAAGATCACTAAGTGAGTTGTTTTATCTTGTCCCTGTTGCTATAAATCTGCCCTGTGTGCATCATATTTTCCAAGCCCTCTTTCCTCATTATGTGTCCTAGATATTTCAGCCATCTCTTTCTGATGTCACGTATAAGTTTCCGTTTTGATTCCATTTTCTTTAAAACTCTGCACATGGTATCCTCAGCAGCCTCCTGTCGAGCCACATTTTTGCTGTCTCAAATCTCCTACAAACGCAGATGAAATCCGACTAGTTTGGTGCTATATCTAACAGCTGAAAAGATACCCGCATATGAATTTCACCATGCTAGATTTCTTTTCAGGATTTAGGCAATCTCAGCCCGCGGCACCCTTGGAAAGTGCTTGAAAACGGTACCACGGGTTAACGCATGCCTTCCGAGAGAAATTGGACAGACAGACCCTTTCGGAAGACGTGGTTGATTATCCTAGCGATTTGTCAAAAATTCATCGTGACCAAGGGGGTTGATCTTACCCGATTATACGCTCTCTCGCTCTCTCTCTCTCTCTCTCACTCTCTCTCTCTCAGAATCTGTAAATAAATATATTGATTTATTTGCTTCATACCAAACGTTGCCAGCTTATTTCAAGTCAGAAAATATTTTTAGAATGTATAAATATAACAAGTCAATAGTTGGTCAAGAAAAGAGGTTCATATTCGTATTTTAACCCGACTGGAATTGGAACTCGGCTCTACAGATTTCCAATTCCGACCTGTTATCCATTACACCACACGCACATCCAAGCTTACAGCATCTGGTATTGCCAAGCAGTCACTCATCTTAGTACTGACCAGGCTCGACGTTGCTTAACATCAATGATCGTCCGAGTACCGTTGTACAATTTGGTATCAAACATAATCTAAATAAGAACCAAAATGTTCCTTATATACACATATAGTTTTCTCCGTCTATTTTGACGTCTTTTCGTTGGAAGTCATCTTTCTCTATTTCAATTCGTCTAAGGATTTCAGTGTCTTTACTTTCCGTTCTTTGTTAAAAATCTTCCCAGATATCTAAATTGTTGTACTTTCTTGATTTTTGTATCTTTTTTTTTTAATTTGCATTTTGGGATCATCCTTTTTCAAACAACCAGATATTATGTACGCTAGCAATTGATATTTGAAGCTTTCTTCTCGGTGTCTTTCGCTACCTTCTGTAGGAGTTCTTGTATTTTCCTTTCTGTGTCTTCCACAAATGCTGCGTCATCTTATCTTCTTAAAATGGCTGCCTTCAATCATGAATCTATTTGGACGGCTAATTCTTAAAGAATCACGTCGTTGTATTAGTTGAATAGGCCTGCTTTACACCATGTTCTATTTTTCTGCATTTACCGAATTCATTTTCTATCCGTAAGCAGGTGGTTGGTTCCCAGTACCTATTCTGGATAAATATAATATTCTTCCCAAATATGTACGTAGAATTTCCAACAGTTCTTTGTGACATGCTTTATTAAATGCTTTTGTATAATCTGTAAAACAAATGGTACACTTTTTGCTTTTCTATTGCTCTTTCTGACATTATTCATAAATACTCCTTTCCTCGTTCCATTGTGTTTGACGAACCCGCACTGTCTTTGTCTCATTTCTAGTCTGATTCTGCTGTGCTCTCTATTAATCAGGATCCGAATAAGTTTTCTTATATGGCTCGTTTCGCTAATTCTCCGATGGAAATCAACTTCATTAGCATCTGGCTCCTAAAACAATCTTTGAGAATGGATCTACTTAGGTCTTCCGGTGTATAACCACAGTTGTATAATTGCATTTATTATGTCTGTGATTTTGTCAATATCAGAATCACCTAAAGCTGCCATAACGTTAATATTAGGGCACCTTGAGGCGGTGTATTGGTCAGCAAGCTTGTCACACTAGAACAATTTCGACTTAGTAGTGAGCTCAAACCTCACTGGGTGCCTCATATTTTCGGCCTTGTGCCACATCTATATTACGCTTTATCACTATTATTTGGGCATTTCGAGGCGGTGTAATGGTTAGCGAGCTTGTCTCGCTAGAACAGTTACTACTGTGTATTGAGTTCGATTCTCACTTGGTTCCCCATACTTTAGGCCTTGTGCCACATGTAAGCTCCGCTTGGAAAATCACTATATTGGGCACCTTGAGGCGGTGTAATGGTTAGCAAGTTTGACTCGCTAGAACAGTTACCCCTGAATAGTGACATCGATCCTCACTACGTGCCTCATTCCTTCGGCCTTGTGCCACATCTAAGCTACGCTTGGAAAATCACTATATTGGCAACCTCTTGGCAGTGTAATGGTTAGCTAGCTTGTCTCGCTCAAAACAGTTAAGACTGTGTAGTGATTTCTATCCTCACTGGGTGCCCCATACTGTCGGTCTAAGGTACGCTTGGAAAATCACTATATTTGGCACCTCGAGGTGGTGTAATGGTTAGCAAGCTAGTCTCGCTAGAACAGTTACCCCTGAATAGTGAGATCGATCCTCACTGGGTGCCCCATACTTTCGCCCTTGTGCCACATCTTAGCTACGCTTGGAAAATCACTAATATTTGAACATTTCGAGGCTGTGTAATGGTTAGCAAGCTTGTCTCGCTAGAACAGTTACAAATTTGTCGTGAGTTCGATCTTCACTGGGTGCTCCATACTTTTGGCCTTGTGCCACATCTAAGCTATGCTTAGAAAGTTACTGTAATGTTAATATTTCTGATTCTTTGATGTTTCTGGGTTTTGCCGGTTGTTCCCGTTTGTTGTTGTTCTCCGATGAAGTCCTTCCTTCTTTGAAGTATTTTCCTTCCCTAATATAAGTTTCATATCATTGCATTTCATGCACATGTCTTGCGTTCTGTTAGTTCTCTCATATTTTATGCATATCTGCTTCATCTGTGATGCTCATTTTTTTTTAATTCTGCGTATATTTTACCAGCAATTCCTAACTGCAGACTCCTATATTCTGTGCCGTGTCTTGACAATGTTTTTGACAGATATTTAAAAGGAAATTGTCGAGAGCCACGATCACCAAAACCCTGGTCTGTCATTTAAAAGAACAAATCAATAAAATAAATAACATTTTGCATTAAAAAAAAGGGAGACGTAAAGTACAAAACCACTACTGAGTGGGGCACTCGAAAAGCACAAGAAAATAGGTTCAAGAGACTGGTTTGTCAATCACTAAGCCTTAGTATATGTTGTTCTTATTTGCGTCACCTAATTCTTTTGTTTCCGCCTCTTACCTTCCCTAACTTGGGTACTACTGACAAGTTTTCTCGTTAACGTCCATTTTTTTTTTTTTGGTTGACGTGAATATACTTGCCACACACAGCATATTTTTGGCATCCGGTCAACGAACTTTTGGTTCTTGAATTCTATTTTTATAAAGGAAATTTCTAAAGAATTTTGTTTCATATTTAGAAAGATCGAGAGCGATTTTTAACTTGCTCCAAGCGATATTGACAATTTAAAAGAGTGTGTGCATGTGTATATTTGCGTGCGTGTGTGTATGTAACTGCTGCCATATATGGTCTGGAGCCCCTTCTGTTTGTCACAAGCTTCTTGAAAAAATCCAGAGACGGATATGCAATGTAACTGGCCTCGATCTGGCATCTCGTCTGCAGTCGCTCTCTCACGGACCTGCCATCGCCTCCCTCTGTCTTTTTTACAAATGAGCTGCTTTTTCTGGTTCCCAGACTTCATGAATTTAAGCGTTCAACTAGGCTGGCATCTTGCTCTCACCCTTTCACTGTCGAAACTGTTAAATGTAGCCGTCTCTTCTACCCCAATAGTTTCATGTCTCGCACTTCTCGCCTGTGGAACTCCCTACTTTTTTTTCTGTTTCCCTGATAGCTATAATCTCCAACTATTCAAATGTAATGTCAATCGACGTCTCCAGATGCCTTGATCTATACCCAAACCTTCTCTTCATCCTTTCCTTTATCATTGCTATTTGCTCTCGACCCAACTCTCTGTAGCCCCTTGCGTGCTAGTGGCTTCCCGCCTTGCTTGGGGTGAAACGCTTAAAAAAAAAAAACAAACAAAAAAAAACAGTGAGTGTTCGCGCGCACTTAGAATTCCATGTTTAAACGTGCGGGTAGTGTAACAGTTATCAGCCCGCCCAATATCTTCCTGCCTCTCTATGCCGTTTCCCTTCAGGAAGTTTGCGATCGTGGCTCGACACAAATTCTTGTAGTAGGAATTCTCTAGCACCCCTAGAAGTCACATACTCGGATAAGAGAGATCCTGACCATTAAACACATACCATCACATGCATTTTCCTCTATAAACAAAATCTTTCCTCATCTTATCCCTTATCAAGACGTTACCGATGATGTCTCTCCACAACTTCCTGCCCATCATTGCACTAATCGACGATTGTTTTCCTACCATCCCCACTCTCTGCTATCTATTTACACAAAATTCAACATCTTAATCATGTCATTATTTTCTCTTCGAATTACATGTGCTATACATTTTAACTGTTGCTGCTGTTGAAAGTCCACTAGTAATTTTGTTTCTTTTATTTGGTACAATTCTTTGCTTATGATTCTGTAGCGACAGGCCACAAGGTTGAAAGAAGGATGCCAAAACATACAGTCTTCACTCACTGAAAACCATTTTTTTTAATCATTGAGAAAGCGGCTGTATACACATGATAGTTTGGTTATTTCTGAACGGGTTTAGCACTGCGCATGCCGCCCATATGAAAGTAAGAAATGATAACACTGTAACGGGCGCGATCAGGCTCAAACTTGGATCACGTTATCACAACAGAACCAAATATAAGCACGCATGAGCAGAAGATAGATAGATAGATAGATAGATAGATAGATAGATAGATAGATTATGTCGAAACTGCCGATACTTTTGACTTACACTCGTATATGTCTGTATATTTGAAGAATAACTGTTTTCGAGCCTGCAAGCAAGGATCAAATCTTTCGACGAGTCTTCATAGCCCATTTCTTTCTTACCCCAGCTTAATCGTGAACTCATGAAATCAGCGATCATACCTTGCTCAGTCGTCGACCCTGTTTAAGATTGCACCTAAAGACACGGAAATGAGGGATAGAAAATTTGCACTGAACTTCCACTGTCAGCAGGATGTGATATGAGGAAAAAAAATTGTTCATTCTAAACGTACGAAAAAGGACAACACACCCACACCCACATATATATATATATATATATATATATATATATATATATATATATATATATATATATATATGTAAAAGAAGCAAAATGTAACTAAACCAAAGATATTTGGTCCTTCTGGGGAAACAGAAAAAAAAGACAGACAAATGAATTAAACAGAAATAAGACGTCATGGACATACAAATGAATTAAGTATTTCTCGTATATTCCATTGGTGTTTGGTAGGTCTGAGCTCCGAAATTATATCCTGTGTCGGATTTATGACATTTTTACCGTAGAGACATGTCATAGCAGTATTACGGTTCGTATCATCGTTTTGGCTATTTTTGATCTAGAATGGGACAAATGCAAAAAGATATCACATTTTGTGGAATGGCCGGCACCGCTAATGAAAAACCTCAGGATCAAACATATATGTCATTTGTCCAACAATTCCGAACAAAATGATGCCAATGTTGGTAGGCTCTCGAAGAGAAACTTCCACGAAATTCACTCCAGTTTTAAATAAAAGAGGTGTCTGAACATCGAGAGATCTTACAGATATAAATAACGCAAAAATTAAAATGACACCGACATCGCATTTTAACAGATATGTTTACCAAAATTACTCAAGAATATCTTGAAATACTAAAGAGTAGATTTATTCAATAAAATCGCCACTGGATTCAATCACGGTCTCCAAACGACTTCGAAATCTCTTGCAACTCTTCTGAACGGCCTACTTGTTTAAGTTCAATGCTACCATAATTCTTACCTTCAGTTCATCTTTGGTGTTATAAGGAGTTTTCTTGGTCTCTCGCTCAGCTGGACATCACACATAATAATCAAAGGGGTGTAGTCAGGGACCAGATGTAAAGAGTTGATGTCGTCGCAGAAGTCTGAAAACTATGACTGGGTTCTGTTGCTGGACATATAGTTTTCCAGCAGCAACCCTCTTGACCCAGGGCAGCACTACATCCTGAAGACACTTGAAGTAGTCCTCAGTGTTGAGACTGACCCTCACAAACAAATTCGGCAGTTCTTTTCTTTTCAGATGGGAGTGAGTTTTCTGAGCTGCCGTACCCTCGTCGTCAATATTAGACTCCTTCAGCTCTTTCCTAATATTGTGCGCAGATGGACACCCAAACAATCCGAAACGTATGTATTGGAGCATCCGGTGCGAATTCCAAGCATTTCAATATGCCGCTTGTAAATTTCTGGTGGAGTGAATTGCGTCATGATGTTCTTTTTCTCACAGATGGTGTCCATTGACCTAACTATACTGTGCGGTCGACAAAAAAAAAAAATCGAACAATGCGCATGCACGAAATTAAAAGTATAAAATGGCGACAATTTACCCATCGCACCCTGCATTACGAGGGTAAATCAAAAATTATTAGAAGTTTCGCAATGGTTTCTGAAAATATCTTTCAAAGTTGTCGTCCTTGCTTGCAAGCTCTAGAACAATTATTTCCAGTGTAAGTCAAAATTATCCGCAGTTTCGCCATAACATATCCTTAGGTTAGTCATACTACCTTCTACTCATGCGTGCTTATAGCTGGAACTATTGTGGGACCTTGGCCCAAATTTGAGTTTGATCGCGCCAGTTTTCTTGCTGCTGTTACAGTTTAAACATGGAGGTACGAAGCGCAGTGATACGAATCGGCAAAGAACATGATACCTGATCGATGATAACTCTCTGGTTCGCCCTTACCATCTCTGGGGCTTGCTGAATCTTCTCGTCACTGGTGGAGGTTGACGAGCGTCCTGATCTTTCTTCGTGCGTCACGCTTGTGCGACAAATTTCAAACTTCTCTATCCGCTCGAACACACTTCTTCTAGTGCACTGTCTCCTCATTGTGTTAAAAGTCTCCGATGAATTTCAGGCCTTGTCACAAACTGCGACCATGGAAATCGGATCACTGGTCTTTGTCTCTCCTTGGTGCACACTGCTAGCAAAGCGGTCATGTTTACTCTGTAGAAACAGCGGAAACCCTGGCGCGATCAAGCTCAGATTTCATGACCACAATATTACCATCTATAAGGATGCAGGATCAAAAGACAGTGCGACAAACTTAAAAATATGTTACGGCGAAAACGTGGATAATTTTTTTTTACTTACCCTCGTATATTTGACAAATAATTGTGGGGAAAGGAATGTAACCGAGGTGCCAAGTTAGGACAAATAATATTGCAGATTATTCTTTAGATCGTATCAAAAATCTCTAAATATATAGCAGGAGCACCAGACTAGATGTGGCAGCATTATTAAAAGCAAGGGCGAATGGTAGACTTATAAATATGCAAGTTAGTTTCTGGCAAGAAAACAGAAGACTTAGTAATTGATTCAATATACACTTTCTACTTCATGTCATCTGAAAACGTTAGTTCGAGAAAGCGCATTGAATTACACACCTGGAGTTTAACGTAAGCCATTCTGATGGAAGGTAAAATGAGTTCTCTCAGATGATTAAAAGAGAGCAATTTCGTTTTTCAGGTATTAAAATTAACAAGCCATTTTTGTTCCATTTACTAACAGATTGTAGGTCATTTTTTTTAAAATTAGCTGCCAATTTGACTTTATCGAACCGAACAAACTTAATATTAAGACAGGAGTAAACATATGTTTGTTAAGCATTTCACACCAAGTAAGGCGGGAGTGCCACTAGTACGCAAGGGGTTACAGAGAGTGGGAGCAAGAGTAAAGAGTCGTGATAGAGGAAAGGATGAAGAGAAGGACGGGAAATTAGATCAAGGCATCTGGAGATGTCGATCGACATTGCATTTGAATAGTTGGAGATTATAGCTATCAGGAAAGCACGCAAGAGGAAGGGAGTGGCACGATTAAATTCATGCAGTTTGGGAACTAGCGAAAATAGCTCGTCGGAGTAGTTACCGTGAAAGTATTTCTAGAAAAGACAGAGGGAAGTGATGGCACGTTTGTGAGCGAGCGACAGTAAACGAGATGTCAGATCAGGGCCAACCACATTGCATATCCCTCTCTGGATTTTGTCGAGGACCTTAAGACGAACAGCGAGGGCACTAGACAATATATGCCAGCTGTATTCCATGCAAGGGCGAATGGTTGATTTATAGATTTGAAGGATAGACTCGGGAGAGAAAAACTTTCTGACGCGTCACAGAGAACCAACTTTCCTTGCGGTTGATGAAGCTATTGGTTCAATGTAATTGTTTCATCTCAGGTCAGCGGACAGTGTGAGACCAAGCAGTCGCAGAGAGGTGCTCTCGTGGAGTTGAGCATCAGACATTCTAATGAGACAGGTAGGTTTCTCTGTGGTGGGTAAAAGAGAACAGTTTCTTGCCCCAGTCAACCACAGATTGGGGGTTCTTTTCGTCATCGGCATAGATACCGATTTGAGAACTGATGATATCGGAAAGGTCATTGATGAAAGTTGAGAACCACATAGATCTAAGGAAAGAACCCTGGGTAAAAACAGAATTTATGCCAAAGAATATAGGAGAGTAAGCATTCAATGCAACTTTCATTTCGCGAGTTGAGAAAAAGATTCAATCAGTTCAAAAATTCACCCAGAAATTCCATAATCTTTCAACTTATGAAGAAGACCAGTATGCCAAACTCTGTCAAATGACTTCGATATATCTAAATCAACAGCCGAAGCTTCACCATTCTTATATGAAGCTTGATAGACTCTTTAAGTAATAATCGTTAACACATCAGCAGTTGACCTAGAGAAGCGAAAGACATATTGCTTATCTGAAAGAAAACACCGCAATGTTAGATGTTTAATTAATTCAGAGTTAATTAGTGCATCAAGTACAGGCCGAGACTAGGTAGAGGACGAATAGGGCTATATTTAGAAGCATAAGATGGTTAGGCTGAGTTCTGAAAAATTGAAACCACACAAGAAGATTTACAACAAGTAGGAAAACAAGAAGCACCAATGCATTTATTGTAGAGTTTAGAGAAAACTGGAGACAGTTCAGGAGAACACTTTTAAGGATTAATGCAGGTATATCGGCAAGTCGACATGATTTATGAGGGTCCTGTTTAGAAATGATAGCATGGCCGGAATGTGCATATCACTCAATAGAGATTCAGTTCTAAGTGGAAAGTTAAGCAAATGTACTCGAGATGAGTCATGAGTAGAATTTAAAGAGAATTTACAAGCAAAACATTCAACAGAATATTTTAACACGTCAAACTGAGTGAGGATAGGATGGATAGACACCAGTAGTTACATATATATATATATGTGTGTGTGTGTATATATATATATATATATATATATTATATATATATGCATATATATATATATATATATATATATATATATATATATATATATATATATATATATATATATATATATATATATATATATATATTTTTATGCATATATATATATATATATATATATTATTATTATACATTCAACACCATCACTTGATATGACATCAAAAGTATTGAAACAAAATGACTATTTTTGTAGTAATTTTATAACTATTAATACATTTTTATAAATAATATTATCTATCTATCTATCTATCTATCTATCTATCTATCTATTTGCTAGCCGAAGTACCCGACGTTTCCCGGGTGTACATGGGTGCAATTGTATAACCACATACCTATGTATACCCGTAACCTCTGTCTACAAATGTCTGCCTGCGAGGTCGCTTGTATGCATCATCCGTTGGTATGATATACTAAACTACTCTCCCATCATCTTTTTTACGGTATGTCCTTCGCAAATTGTTTGATGGTTTTTAATAAATCTTCTGTGGTCATTGCTCGGGGTTAAATTGTTTCAATGTTTTAGATATTAATTTCATATGGCCTTAATAACGTTCAGATTGTATGGCATTGTATGGCATTGTTCACAGATCTAATATTGAAACAAAGACACGGATGAAGCATCAGAGCTTGATTCAACTGTAAGTGCAAACGCACGAACGCCCCCCCACCTTTTTCGTACGTTTACTGTAAAGCTGGGGTTAATAAGTGGTTTTTCGGGAAATTTTCACTTTTAACGTTTCAATAAAACTTCTCAAACAATCTTTGCATCAAAGGTTGTTCGAATCCCAATTTAGGATGGAATCATATGAAGAAACTATTGGCTAAATGGCAAAAGCCGATTTTGGAGCTAGTTTATCTCAGATTTCGTCGACTTAACTGAAATAATCTAAACCAAACATTCACACAAGACAATTTGTGTGTCATATGTAATTTACGTGGTAAATTTGGAAAGCATCGGATGAAAAACCAAGGAGTTATGGCTAAAAAAAAAATGTTTTTCTAACGGTTTTACGTAGATTTTCGTCATACGCGAAGACACGAGGAGTGCTAAAACCACACTATGTTATTTATTGCGTGATGACAATTTTTTTGCGGCATGTGTGAAGAAAATTGGATTAAAAATGAGTTATTCGGGTTTTTATTTTAAGTAATAAGAAAAAGCCGATTTTTCGCAGGTTTTCGCAATTTTTCTTCGGAGACAATGTCACAGAAAACTATTTAGCATTCTACATAAACCTCGTAACATGTACTATGCGTTGCATTATATACATAGAACACCAACTGATTCAGTAAAAATTTTGTTCGCGTGTAACTTTGCTTTGCATTTTGCAAAAAATCGTACCCACTTTCAGTTTTATCAATTCTTCTGCCATATTATACCTAGCATGTAACAGCCTGTCGCCTCTTAGTGTTGACTTCAATATTCACTTTTGTATTTACATACACTCTATCTCTGATATTGAGCACTTTATTCCATAAATATAGTCAAACTTAAAACTATATTTCTTCATCTATCAATCTATATATATATATATATATATATATATATATATATATATATATATATATATATATATATATATATATATATATATATATATATATATATATATATATATAAATATAAATATATATATATATATAGTTGGGAAATATGTGTGTATATGTGTGTGTACTGATTACTTGTGGTGGGATAGTGTGTATGTGCGTATGTGTGTGTATGCGTGTATAGGTACAAATAAGTTCACGAATTCCTCGTAGTAAGACAGTATGTATGGAGGGGAAATATACGCACGCATATATACACATGCTGACAGAAACACACCAAAATAGAAACAGATCCAAGAGCACATAGGGGTCACTAAAACATTAAAAGATAAAATGTCGATAACTACTCGCTGGACCAACCTTAATTGTTTTATGACCCTTCGCGCAGAACTCTTCATTGACAATTCTAGAAAGAAATTCGGATTACCAACACACAAACAGAGAATGTCTCATATCGAGAATATCTCACATTGAACATGAAGAAAATTAATTATTTTTAATAATATCATTTTTAATAATATGTGAAATCTCCACTTTTACCTGAAGACGGTCGCGAGACCAGAAACACGTGTCGTAGTAAAATTATGTAAAACAAAGCATAATATTTTTTCTAAATAAATCCACATTACAACCAAAAACGTTTGCGGCACCTCTCTTCTCTTCTTTTTAATATACATACTTTTCTCTCGTTGGAACCACTACAACATATTTCTTTTATATATATATATATATATATATATATATATATATATATATTATATTTATTTCATTTGGGCAGTAGACTTTTTTTTTAAACATATTTCATTGAATGTGAGAGACAAGGGAAATCATTTGGCACATTTTAATTGGTTCAACAGCTGTGGTTTATACTGAAACTATGTTGAGCAGACCTTAGTTACAGTTTCTGGGAGAGAGAGTATTATCTAGAATGATCAACAATCTGAACAAGGCCAGCGATGACTTGTGACTTCGTGTTAGCACAGCTATAGACAGTCCCCAAGTGTTCTGTCTACCCAATTTCATTCACATGTCTTGGGTGGGTCAACCGATGGTAAGTTTTTCACGGGTGCCGCACGCTGTGATCGCACCCGCCAGACCGATAACATCTGGAAGTCTCCTTCCTGACAAATCAGCCGTGGTGAGATTCGAAGCCGGGTTTCATGGTCAGAAAGTCGAACTCAGCCATAGATAGATAGATAGATAGATTCTACAAAAGCTAATTTAGAACAAATCGAATTTGTGAGAATGTTAGACAAAATCAAGTAAAATTAATAAATTTATTGTCTTCGAAATTCCAAGTATAATTTAAATTTTTTTTATTTACATTTCTTCAAGGATTTGCCAATCTTTCACGTTAAATTCTGCAGTAGAATCTCCAGACATTATTATTTCTATTTCCAGAATTACCAGTTCGCAATCTTTGATCTAAAAGCAGTCAATAAAAATTGGACAAATTCCTATGAATAGAAAAATTCTCTACGGATTCATCAAGCTAAGAATATTGTATAGACACGGTACAAGAAAAAAATCGCCTAATAAAAACATAACAAAACATCTGGCGACTCATTACCAGACAATGAGAAATTTTACTCCTTTCAGAGTAACCCGGTAGCGAACAGAACTTGAAAGTAAGAGAGAAAGATAAAGAGACGGAAAAAAGAGAGGGTGAGGTTTAAGCTGTTTTTTTACATTGAAAATCATAAAATGTGAAGAGAAATTGTCTCGTATCTGGTGTACTGTAATGATAAATGTCGATCGAATGAGTCGCCCGAGAAGGGCTTCATCTTCCGTTTAAATGGACTACGTGTAATACACATATACGCACACATACACAGGCATACATAGACATACTTTCACCCCTCTCGTCTTCTCTTTCTTTCTCTGTCTCTCTCTTACATACGCACACATACACGCACACATATTTTCACCTCCCCCTCTCTCTCTCTTTATACACACACACACACACACACACACATATATATATATATATATATATATATTCTGAACCCTTCTTACTCTCTCTCTTTCTCTCTCTCTCTTTTCACACACACACACACACACACATATATATATATATATATATATATATATATATATATATATTTTGGTGGATAGATGTGAGTTTGTGACCCTGGGTTTCACGCTTTAGCGATCGTCAGACAAACTGATTCAAATATGTTAGCTCTATCTCTGATATTGAGCGCTTTCTAATAAGTACCGCGCATATAATATATAAATAATTATACATATATATATTTATTTATATTTATATACACTTTTCACACACACACACACACACATATATATATATATATATATATTACAGTATTCATTGAAGTCAATACCCAGATGCAACAGCCTGTTTTATGCTAAATGCAATCGCCAGGATTGTGAGATTTGTTCTTTATCTAATCATTCTCTCGCATTCCGATGAATGTTTAAACTCTATTTGATCCCAACGCATATATATATATATATATATATATATATATATATATATATATATATATATATATATGTGAATTTTATATGAAATGTGTTATTTAAAAAAAGAAAAGGAAAAAGAAAAGACACAGTGTTTTTAAATGCTCAACAATATTTCGACAGTATGTCTGTCTGTCTTCAAGTTACATTTAAACATTTTATACAAGTATAAAATATAAAACATATGCAAAAATTATAAATCTTTGTGTAAACGTTGCTTTTCTAGAGAAACACGGTTGTACTGGCAATCAACGAGTCAACACGAATGAAACTCAGCCAACGTGAATGGCATGCAAGTGACACGCGCATCCGACATATTCTATACGTATCACTCCCCGTACGTTTTAAAATAATTGTAATTTTTTTAAGATTAAAATAATTGTAATTTTTGAAGACATTTTATATTTTTATAATATGCATACAATTTTTAAACATAAGTTGAAGACGGACATTGACTCCTGTCATTGAGAGCATGGTACATCTGTATATCTCCCAGCAATTTTTAACAATCGCTATTTTATCTCTTAGAAGAGGAGGGTTGACACTAGGTTGTTGTTGTTGTTGTTGTTGTTGTTCTTCTTCTTCTTCTTCTTCTTCTTCTTATTATTATTATTATTAAAATGACAAACTCGACATTGTAAATGCATTCCATTGCTATGTGATTTTTTAAAAGAACGCACGAACGCTCTGCTACAGATACTTTAGAATTTTAAAAAATATATATATATATATATATTAACAAAACAAGCGTTTCAATGTAAGGGATCTGATCGGCAATTGGTAGAAACGGAAAATGGCATTAAATGTTTATATATGCACTTTAATATGTTGTTGCTATATTAATAATAAATTTTGTTGATCGTTGGCTGATTGATTTTGATATAACGGGACACAAGAATTTGAATTTTTTTTATTATTTTCGTAGTGAAGTATATTGGTGTTCTCAAGATGTATTTCCTGTTTTGTGAAGGGGGACAGGAATGCCTATACATTTTGTGCAATAGATCGCGTATTGTATATATATATATATATATATATATATATATATATATATATATATATGTGTGTGTGTGTGTGTGTGTGTGTGTGTGTTTGTAAGTAAAAACATAGATGTTAAAATAGAAAAAATGAAAACTTTCGTCTTCTGCTAGATTTTACCAAGGCAAATCTAAGGCTTATATTTTGCAACAAGTCTTTGAAAGGAAGACAAAAATGTTAGATTTTCAGAATTTTAAATTTAAGACCGATTATAAATATAGATCAGGGTAAATGAAAATCAAGTCAAATTATGGAGGTTGCTAAGAGATGGAATTTAATGTTTAAAAAACTGAAAGTGAGCCGAATTTTTATAATGTATTTATTATTTTAGTTCGACGATAATTTATGTATTATATATTATGTATAATATATTATATTATGCATGATGTATTATGTATTATATTTCATGTATTATATAATACATTATGTATTATATAATATGTATTATACATTATGTAACATAAATTATATTATGCATTATATATTATGTGTAATATCTTATATTATATATTACATAATATGTATTATATATCATGTATAATATATTATATTATGTGTTATATATTATATATCATGGATTGTATATCATGTATTATGTGTTATATTTTGTATTATATATTATGCATTATAAATTATATTATGTATTATATATTATGTATAATATATTATATTATGTATTATATCGTAAGTATTATATATCATGTATTATGTATCATATTATATACTATATATCATTCATTATGTATTATATTATGTATTATATATTATGTATAATGTATTATATTATGTATTATATACCATGTATAATATATTATATTATGCATTATATATTATGTATTATATATTATATATATTATGGATTATATATCATGTATTATGTATTATATTATGTATTATATATTATGTATTATAAATTATATTATGTATTATATCTTATGTATTATATATCATGTATTATGTATTATATTATGTATTATATATTATTTATTATGAATTATATTATGTATTATATATTATGTACAATATATTATTTTATGTATTATATATTATGTATTATATATTATGTATTATATATTATTTTATGTATTATATATTATGTATTATATATCATGCATAATATATTATGTATTATATATTATGTATTATATATTATGTATTATATAACATGTATCATGCATTATATTATGTATTATAGATTATATATTATAAATTATGTATTATATATTAGGATTTATATATTGTGCATTATATATCATATTATGTATTATATATCATGTATTATATATTTTTAAATAACAGAAGATATTTTATTTAACGATATTATTTTAACCCAAAAATTATAGTCAATATAGTATAGTTTGCGAAAGTGTATTTCTTTCAGGGAAGGAAATATTCGAAAACGAACCTCAAAAGAATTTATCAAATGCGTTAATCTGGCATCGAAATAAGTTGAACCGCATGTTCGATCCAAAGAATGCCACATTTACTGAAAGTGAAAGGAACTTAGACGGAAAACTCTTGAGAGTGCCGCTAGTACTGACCAAAATATAAATCTGCCCCTCGGATTCTTTCAATTCTATAATTGCCAAATGCTTTCCTTGTGCAAATCTCAGCTCTGCAGGTATGGGCTTTTCTCGCTTAGTCCAACTGGAAAGTTTATTGCTATGTCTTCTTGAAAAAGAATATGGAATAGTGACCCGTTACCTTTATTCTTCTCTTTGCGTGGTTGCCACCTAAATCTGACAAGCCCTGCTAATTAATCCCTAGTTGGGGGCAGCAAGGAATAAGTTGATACATGCGTTTCTCAAGTAAATTTGTGTTAAAGTGGATGCAATTCTAGACCTGATTTTGAACTCGGATGACCAGTCCTATTTCTAGTGCTGTTTCAAAGAACATGAACTAATTTTCCAAATTCTCTTAATACATTTCATTGCAATGTTAGATTCAGTTTGTAAGCATAGTTCTCCAATTCCTCCCCAATCATATATTTTCTACTTGCTAATTTGTGCCATTCATTTATCACGATAGGGTGATTAAGATTTCTCGCCCAAGCTCACTTCTCTAACTCTGATCAAACACAGATTTAAAAAAAAAAAAGGTTGGAAATTTATTAGTACCCTCTTATATATTTTATAGAATTTCATATCTAACCGCATAAAGAAATCTTTTGGTTGTGGTTGTACATTTTCTATTTTCTCATTGATGAGTTCAGTTGGGTTGATGGGTTTTTTTTACGCTACATTAACATTTTTGGGGTATTTAATGCCAAAACCAGTTTTTGATTATATTACGGTCTGTAAGTAATGTAGGCAATAGGTCATTTTTAGGTAATGTCACGAGGAAGCAAATAATTACCAAACGCTTTTTACATGCCGACCTGTCATTAAGCTCACCGTACTGGCAGCAGGATCTGAACTTGATGCCTCTTCTCTTAGTGCAATAGGTAAGGTATTGCCATGTCTTCTCAAGAAAGTGAAGTGGTTTCCTGTTTTCTACATAGTTTTAAATTCAGACATATTCTTCTCTAAGAGCGATTTTTACCTTAGATTGGAATGGTATTTAATCTATAGCTGAGGACATGTAGATAATACTTGCACGATATGGACTTCAATATTGAGGACGAATAATGTTTCGGATGAATTGTGAACAGAATCTTTTAATAAAGAAGTAAGAAAACAAACATAAAAAAGCAACAACGACTCTATTTACACTCTTTACATTTATTGTTGTCCTCATCTTTACTGTCACATTCACGACGTTTCAGCTGATGTACGCTCTGGACTTCTTCAGATAATATTTGGATACATAGGAGAGTTATCAAGGTAAATTAAAAAAAAAATAATTAAAAAACTGACATATCCCAAAAGGCATTTCACGTGGAATTTGAGCAATCTACCCCCGTGGACTAAATAAAGGGTTCGGCTCGAAATTCCAGCAAATATAACCTGAAGAAATCCAGAGCGTACAACGGCCGAAACGTCGTGAATATGACATTAAAGACGAAGACAACAGTCTGAACAATGTAAATAGTGTAAATAGTAGCAATATATCATCTTAGAAATACAGACAATCATCGACTCTAAATTGAAAATCCTGGTAAAATGAACAGAATGCATTACTACCATACTGCAGAAGACATGGCATCAGCTTTCATTTTGCACTGAGAGAGGGGGGGGGAG